GGGGGTGGGGGCGGGCAGGGCTGGCGGCCGCGGGAGGCCCGGTCCCGGCCGCCTCTCGGCAGATGGTGCTGCGGAGCCGGGGGTGGGGCCGGCCCCGCGCCCTGCCGGCCCCGGGAGGGTCCCCCCCGTCCCCGCCTCTCCGTCCTGGCCTCGTCCCCTTAGCAACGGCGTGTCCTTCATCCCGGCACCCGGGAGCTGCAGGTTGCCATGGCAACCGTCTGGGATGCTCCCCCCGCCCGGGCCTCCCCGCCTGCTCCGGGCCTCCGTGTCCACCGGAGCCGCTTCTCGCCGTGGTCTGTGCGGGGCCCCGGCGTCCCCGCGCGGTGGGGTGGGCTGCCCTGCTGACACCTTCCGTTGCCGTGTCTCACAGCCCTGCTGATCGCCGTCAGCGCCGCCGTGGACAAGATCATCGCCCACTTCAGCGCCGCGCGGAACCTGGTGCAGAAGGTGAGGGCCTGGGCCCGGCCGCACCGACGGGAGGGGAACCCACGCAGCTTTGGGCAGGAGGGGCTTGGGGAGCTCCAGGGGAGGATCCCACCGTCCGTCCCTGCGGGCTCGGGGTGAGGGGCTTCCATTCCCCTCCCTCTCCTCTTGCTCAGGCCCAGCTGGGAGACAGCCGGCTCAGCCCAGACGTGGGTTACCTGCTGCTGCACACCCTCTGCCCTGCGCTCTATGCCTTGGTGGAGGATGGGCTGAAGCCATTCCAGAAGGACGTTATCACAGGCCAGAGGAAAACCTCCCCCTGGAGTGTGGTGGAAGCCTCTGTGAAGACAGGTTGGTGTGAGGACTGTGTTCCTGGAGATGCTGGTGTCTCAGGATGCCTGCCTGGGCTGGGGGAAGATGTGTGCCCAGAGCAGTGACTGTGGTGTCTTCTGCAGGGCCCAACACCCGCTCTCTCCACTCTCTCTGCTGCCATGTGGCTGGGCTGGCCCCTCTTACCAGCACCCGACAGAAGTTTCATGCCTTTATCCTTGGTCTTCTGAAGTGAGTATCAGCCCTGCTGACCCAAGCTGTTCTCGCTGTGATGACGGGTTGGAACAGAGTCCCAAAAGCTCTAACTGGGGTTCCCTTTTTCTTGTTTAGTATTAAGCAGCTGGAGCTGTGGATTTCTCATTTGCAGAAGAGCCCAGGTAAGGACACAGTGCACAGAAGCTCCCCACCCACGCCCTCTCCTGCTTGCCAGGGTGATAATCCCATACCCCTTCCACCCACAATGCTTGGCTGGCATTTCCATAGTGGATAAGGGCATCCTTTTCCATGGTCCATCTTCAGTATAGGTCTCAGTAGAAGCTCCTCTGACCTGCTAGGTCAGACCAGCTTGCCCTGGGGGGGTGGGGGGTGTGTGTGGGCATTTTGCAGCTCTGTCCATATCTCATAGGTGTAATCTCCGTGCTGTATTCACCCACGGCCTTCTTTGCCCTGAGCCAAGGCCCTCTTCCCCACCTTGCCGATGAACTGCTGCTGCTCATCCAGCCCCTCTCAGTGCTGACTTTCCACCTTGACCTGCTCTTTGAACACCACCACCTCTCTATGGATGTAAGACCCTTGTCCCGTAGGCTGGAGTCACCCCTGTCTCCTGCCCATCGCTCTGCTCAGGCTGTGCAACCTTCTCTGGAGGGCCAAAGCAGCACTGCAGGGGACAGCCTGGAAGATGAGTTCCCTCCTGATGCTCTGGGGAGGGTGGCTGGTGCAGACAGCAGCACAAGGTCCCAGTCCCAAGCAGCTGTGCCTGGGCTGGTCCCTGGGTCTGAGGTGGGAGCTGCCCTGCAGCAGACCTTCCAGCATGTGCTGCGGTGGGGCGACCAGCTCAGTCGCACTTTCCTGGGAGCTGACAGCTCCCAGGATACCCACAGGCCCGAGGCAGGCCCTCGGGATGCCGGGACTGGCCTCAGTGGCTGGTGGGGCCAGCTGAGCCAGGCCTCCAGGATTTATGCTGCTCCTAGCAAGGAAAAGTTCCCCTTCATCTGGTGGACAAAGCTGCGGGTGGCTGCGGGGGATTCCAGCCCCAGCCAGGCTGTGCGACCCCAACCATCCATGAATGAACCTAGAGGCACGGAGCTGCAGCTCCTTCAGACCAAAGCTGTCCCTGAACTCCCCGGTCCAAAGCCCAGCAGCCATGCTGACACCTCTGGGACCTCTTGCCCTGAAGACCTCATCGTGCCTGCTGGGGCTGGAGCACCCCCCAAGCCAGACGATCCTGCTGCTGGAGAGAATCTCCTGGCTGTTTCTCCAGAGCCATGTGTGAATAGGAATCGGGCAGCACCTTCAGACCCAAAGGCAGGTGGTCCTCCTGGTCCTGAGAAGGGCAGCTGGCTGGGCCGGCTCTTTGGAGCCACCAGCCCCTCTGCCAGGAGCTTCTCTCCCAGTCCTGATGCCATCTCAGCTCGGTCCAGGTAAGACCCGGCTTGGGCAGGGTGGGGGAAGCAGCATGTGCTGAGGAAGGTTTTTTTTTTTCCCAGGAAGCAAACAGAACACCCGTTGTGGGGTGTCTGGTACTGCCCATTGCCCAGGTTTTGTGCTCCTGGGATTAGCACATGTCCCAAGTGCTGCTGTCGCGTCACATTAGTCCTTAAGAGCAGCAGGAGCTCATGGCAAAGGCTCAGCGGTGCTTGACTGGCCCTGTGTCAGCTCCCTGATCACCCGAATAGTCGGAGCAGGATGGGTGGGAAAAGGCTTCCTAGACAAGCTTGTGGTTTCTTTTGCTTTGTGGCAGGAGACCTTCTAGCTGGCTGTCCCCCAGCGCACGTGTCCTGGCTGTGGTGGTGAAGGGGCTGGCGGCTGAGAAGCCCCATGCTGAAGAACAGCCACAGAAGAACTCGCCCGAGCCGCCGCAGGCCCCCAGGTGATGCAGGGCACTGCGCTGGTTGTGGCTGAGAAGCTGCTGGTGGTGGGTTTTTCTGGGTGGGGGAAGCAGGAGCTGTTTCCAGATGTAGCCTGGGTGTCCTCCGTGCCTTTCTCAGGAAGGATCTGAGGAACTTACACCTTGCCCGCTCCCCTGGGGATTCCATCATCTCCTGCAAAGCTTTGTGTGAACCTGTGTGCCTGCCTAGCTGTGGGCAGCGGTTTTTCCCAGACATTTTTCGGGGGAATTTTGAGCGCTTCCTTTCCCTTGTGTTCCTTCTGGATTAATAGCAACCAGTTTGTAGCAATCATGCGGCAGCTGTGCCCAAATTGTGGCAGGTCAGAAAAGCTGCAGTCGTCCGTCCGTGCTTGCGCAGCCTCTGTCCAGGCAGAGGGTGGGCGAGTGGCCATCCCACCTGGCGTTTGTCCAGCTCCCTCCTCCCCAGCCCTGTCCTGGCTCTCCCTGCAACGTCTGCACCAGAGCTTCATGCTCAGCTGCGGCTCTGGGGGTTGACAGGACACATTTGTGATGTGGCTTCTTGATCAAACCCGTTGTCTGATGGCGTCTCTGCCCGAGGGGGGGCTGTGTGTGTCACCGATGCTACAAGTGAGGGTCAACACCTCTTGTGGGAGCCTCTCTCTGCGGTGCTCAGGGCATCTGAGGATGGCGTTTGTTGTACAGGGCAGTTCGGGCGCTGTGTGACCACACGGGCACCGCCGATGGTCACCTGAGCTTCCAAAAAGGGGACATCCTGCAGCTGCTCTCCACTGTGGATGAAGACTGGATCTGCTGCTGCCATGGAAACAGCACTGGCCTAGTTCCTGTCGGTTACACATCTCTCATTTTGTGAGGAGGCGGTGGAGACCTGAGGCAGCAACTGAGCCCGCTGCAGCAGGTGCCACCTCTGGGAAAGCCTGTCTCCTGCCACAGCTTCACCTCCTTTGGGATTGGCAGTGCTGCAGGGGACCCTGCCCCGGTCCCCGCCACTGCTGCTCCTTTGCATGACATTATGTCTGCTGCGGGTACCTCCCATGAGCCGCTGCTGCGCGTGTCCCCACAGAGCTGCTGGCACTTCACCGCGGCACCCGCTTGGGAACTGCTCTCGCTCATGTTTCCCAGGGGAGGGAAGGGCCGCGGCCCCACGCGGTGCCCACAGTCCTGTGTGTTGTCTCCGTGCCCTCCTGTCCTGCCACTGCTACACGCCCTGCTCTGCCTCGCGGCCGGGGCTGGTGGCCCCAGCTGCCGATGCGCAGGCCCAGCACCCTGTAAATAGTTGTGACCACAGGAATAAGCTTATTCCAATGGGGAAAAGCTGGAAATAAAGGTTGTGACTCACGTATCCACATGTGTGAATGGATCATTGCGGGGTGGGGGTTACTGGAAATGGCCACGGCCCTGCCTGAGTGGCCCTGGGTCTGCGGGAAGTAAATGCTCCTGGGGGAGAGGGCAGGAGGGGCTGGGACCACCCTCAGCATCCCAAGGGCAGAGCCTGGCCCCGGAGCTGGGGGTGGGACCATGCCCCAGGAGGGAGCCCCAGCCAGAAATAACCCTGGATCCAACAGTGCCAGTGGCCCCGGGGGGGTGGGAGCTGCGCAGCATGGGTAAAGCTACCTGCAGGGCTGTTTATTTAAACTAATCTTTTTCCTGAGTCACAGGATCTCAGTCGGGGCTTGATGGCTTGTATTTTTTTTCAACTTTTTTTCTCATGGTTTCACACCATTCTGTTTACATTTCATACTAGGCTCCCCAGTAAAAGAGCTGTGGATGTACTGGAGAGCATCCAGCGACGGGCCACAAGGCAATTGCCATGTGTCTCACAGGCAGCTTTTGAGCTGAGCTCTCTCCTGGGGACCAAGAGCCATATTCCATCCTTCTGGTGGCAAAGGAGCCCAAGTGGCTGCCACAAGCCTGAGCTCTGCTGCCAGGGTAAAGCCACTCACTTTTTATTCTGTTCTCATTTACAGTTCTCTCTCTGGAATTTTTACTCTCAGACAAGGGATGTTCCAGCGTAATTGGATGGTGCTCAGCTTCCCTTAAGTAGGTTTGATTGAATTCCATGACTGCCTCTGGACTTTGAAATGGGGTCAAGCCAAATGAGACGAACCCAGGTACTTCTTCAACTGGTGGAAGAGAGAGAGGCTGGTTCGTAGGGACACCATGTCCCCGTGTCCCGCCACGTGACGGGAGGCAGGACACAGGGCCACCACAGGGCCGGCAGTGCCCAACAGCCCCGAGCTCCCACAGCGTCCCTCAGGCCCCACAGTGCCTGTCACCTGCCTGACATGACCCAGCAGGGGCCCCTGCGCTGCCACCAAGAGATGCAGTCACGGTGACAGGACGTCTCCCACTGCCTGCGCAGGGCTGGGGGAACTGGGGGTTTATCCGATGGGAAAAGTAGCATAAACCTGTAGAGGGAATGGGCCGTGTACCCCCGCGAACACTGACGGCCGAGGCTCTGTCCCTCCTGCCATGCTCGGGCCAGGAGAGCTGGCAGCATCACATCAAATCCTCGCAAACCAGCATCCCTCCCGAAGGGAGAGCCCCTGGCAGCCGCTGGGAAGGGCCGGGATGCGGCAGGAACTGACAGCGCAGGACACGGCAAAGAAAAGCCCACAAAGTCATCGATAGGAAAAGATTTTCCATTTAATACTAGACTCTCTCAGGATTGAGATGCAGGCTTTTTATGCAATTACATCCAATGTTAAAATTGGTAATACATAATTTACAAAGATTAACATCAAAACAATGATCTATTTAGATATGCTTTGTAAAAAGGAAATATATTAGCAGCATTTATTTTCAGCAATCACACAGCCTACACCCATGCAGACTAAGAGTTCATATCTATTTGCAATAATGTAGTGCTTCCTGGTCTTAAAACAGCGATCCTGGTGACACACCGGTCTTCTCATTATTATAAAATAACCGAAAAATAAAAAAAGTCATTAATTTCTACACCAGTAAGAAAAACAATTCTTTGCACTTACCTAACATTTGATTGTCTAAAAAACATTTTGTTTAGTCTTTCAACAAAAGAAAGATAAAATGACAGAGCTAGTGTCTCGCTTCTGTACGCACTTTATTTTTTAAAAACTTTTTAGTGTTTAACACCATTTGAGACAATGATTTCTGTTTTAAACTAAATGAGACAACTCAAGAATTTGGACATGCGATATTCCTACTACACGCACGAGTATTTTATACTCAGGGTTCCTGGTACTGTACAGTGCTTCTCTACAGTAAGAAAATATTCCAAACTATTTTCTTATTTCTTTTTTTTTTAATAAAATATTTTTTCTCAAAGGGTTTTTTTCCTTTCTTTTTTTTTTTTTCCTTTTTTTTCTTTTTAAATCAACACATAAAAGTTAATGGAATGAGTCATGTTCCACTAAGAGTAAAATAATTGTAATAATAACAAGAATGTACATTAGGACAAGCTTGGTCCATTAAAAAGGAACATGTAACTACTGTATTGCTTTACATCCACGCAGCAGATATATACAACTTGGCACATTAAAAACTGGTTTTCTTATAAGAACATCTAAAACAGGACTGTATATGCATGTGTACGTCTGAAGGACAAAAAAGCAAAGCCATTGTCAAGGGGCAGCGTACGCCGACCACCCCCTCCCTGTGCCACGGCTGAGGCTCTGCCGGGCGGGGGGCACGGGGAGCCCCGCGGTGCCGGGGACACGGGGCAGGCGCAGACGCTGCGGCCAGAGCCCACCGCCCGGGGATAACACTGCTCGTGGGGGCAGAGAGAGGCGGTGGCGCGAGAGACGCTGTCTCTTAATTTAAGAGACGGACATTTGAAGCTGTACACCCAGAACACAAGAGTAGTGTTAGCAGTTGATATATTCTACAGTTCACAACAAATACTCGCTCTGAATACTGCTTGACGGTTCATGTAGTGAAGGGTTCTTTTTTTTTTTTCTTTTTCTTTTTCTTTTAACAGATTTTAATTTGCACAACACACTAGACACACAAGAACCACAGCTTATCAAAAAAACCAACAGCAATGGTGGTGTCAGGATTTGACTTGCTTTATAAAATTTCTCTGCAGAAAAAAAGTGAAAAATCTCCCAGCCTGCCCCCGCCCTCTTCTCCGACGCAGAACAAGTGCCTCAACCAGCCAACTCCTGCTTTGCTCCAAGGTGACTTTGGAAGTTGCTCCTTGGCACAGACCAAAGGTCCGGGTGTGCACCGGCCCTTCCACGCTCAGCCTTTTGCACATTTGGGTACGTTTCCCTCTTCTTGGAACTTGTGCAAACCAGAGGCCACAACTTTAGGGCAGCCTTTAATTCTAATCCACTGGGCCTTCACCCTCCCATCTGGTTTTCACTCACTGGCACGGGCCGTGGTGGTGCCAACAGTATCTTGTACAATCACAGGTTAATTGGTGAACACGGGGAATATTCTCACCAGAGTAAGCCAGTCCTTATCCTTCCTACCTCCCCACTTTTTAATTCTTTTTTTTAATTATTTTTTTTTATTTTTTCTTTCTCCTCTGAGTGGGAATATCAAGCAAAAATAAATTAAATTTAACCATCCCGGACAATAACCACGAGGTTTTTCTCAGTACCTAACATCAATACAAGGCACGCCCAACAACACACACACCATAAGAGCACTGCAGAGCAGGGCAGGGCAACCTGCCAACCCAGACATCTAAGTGCTAACTGTTTGTATATTTGTCCGTTTTCTGCTGCTCTCTTTTCCTTGGCTGGTGCAGAGGAGGTTGGGCTCCTGCCCTCAGTCCTCAGCAGACCTTGTAGCAGACTCCAGACCGCAGCATCCTCTCATGGCATCACTTCCTGAAGCTGCTCTCTGGGATGGTGAGAGTTCGCCGCCTCAGCTTCCTTCCTGATCCTTCCTCCAGCAAGTAGGTGACGTCGATAGCTGCAACAGAGCACAGGCTTTGGGTAAAAGAAGGCAATACGAGGAATAGTTTTCCTATTTCCTTATAGAAGGTTCCTTCAAGGATGTTTCTATCCATAGCCATCTTCAAAACTTCACTGGACACCTTGTCCAGTCTGAATTTGGTCCTGCTTTGAGTAATGTTCGGACCAGACGACCTCCAAAGATCCTTCCAACCTGAAATATTCTATGAGTCCATGATTATTTTGCATTAACTCCCAGAACACGAAAAGACACTGGACAGACCTCAACCTACCCTCCTCAGGCTGGACGGGGCTTTGAGCAGCCTGGTCTGGTGGGAGGTGTCCCTGCCCAGGGCAGCGGGGGGAATGAGATGGACTTTAAGGTCCATTCCAACCCAAACCATTCTGTGATTCTGACTCTAGGCTTTAAATTAAAAAGATACAATACTTAATGTGTGCAACCACTGCACCCTTATGCTCAGACAATACCTACAGAAGTTACTTAGAACCCAATGGAAAGCTCGTTAAAGGTCCAAAGAGACTTTCCAGATTCTCTTCAGTCTTTCTTGGGATGTCTGTTAAGTTTCCTAGTTGTAAACACAGAATGATGGGGGCGGGATTTGTCTTCAGAAAGTTTTTGTGGTTACTAAATTTGTTCTACAAAACACATCAGTCGTAAGAAATTTCATTCAGATTTAGTGGAAATGGCTACTGTTGCAAAAGAAAACATTGCTGCAAAGAAACTAATTATTAATCATGTCCACTAGCAATAAATTCAGACAAAACCATGTCTTTTATCAACAGGATCTTCAGCGAACTGAAAAGAAACCTGTAGAAGAAACTCTACTGTGCAATCGCAGCACAAAATCTCACCATTTTTCCCTGGGATTTTCTCTAGGAGGTTGAGCAGGATTTGATTAAGTCTCTCTCTCTGGACGTGCCGCCTTTCCTCTGGAGTGCACAGCTGCCTGGTGTCGGAATTGCTTTCTTCCACCTTTTTATTAGCTTCACAGGTCTCACTAGAAACTGCCTCTTTTTCTGGCTCCTCCAGGCTCGGCATCTCGCTTGAAGCTTGATCCTGGTTTCCTAACACATCCTCAATAAGTGGAAGAGAATCTTCTTCTTGGTTTAAGTCTTTAATCTGTGGTTTTGAGCGATCTGTTTTCCAGGATGATCTAGCAGGAGAAGAAGGGTTTAAATACCACAATTTTTCGGACACTCACCCGAAAGGCCGGTCAGCAGTGAGTGAGGGACTCTCAGCAGGCAGGGGGCTTTCTGGAATCTCAGTCATCCAACAAAACACACGCATTCCAACCCACCAGTTGCTGTCAACAGGAGGCTCTGTGCCCATAACCTTGTTTGCGTGACATCAAATGCAGTCTGATACAAACAAATTGCTTTTTTATTTCAATGTGGGAAGGTTTTGATCTTCCAGACTAGCTGAGCTCAGCACTTAGTG